TTTTGTCACGAACAAATTTCCAGAAAAATTTGGGATTATTAAAAATACTAACATTAACGTTAGATATATACGCAGCATACAGTTGTTCACATAACTGTTTACATCGCGATCTCAAGGATTTAAAATAAATATAATCTTCAAACCTGCCTGATTTTTTATAGATAGAGTGCGCTATGCGTTTATTGCGACAAAGATCTTTCAATTCTTTATCGAACCATACCGGATAATTATTACGAGCATTATGCCTTAATATTTTATGTGGAATAAATTGTTCAAACCCGTTAAAAACTATGTCATAAAAAACTGCCACTTTTTCATCCAAATTAAGACCAAGAAAATAATTATCCCAATTAATCGATGCATAAAATTCATTTAAAGAAATATAGTCACCATTATTAAAGTCAAATATTTGAACTTCAGAGTGAAGCGAAGATGAAGAGGTGCAGGAAATATACCATGAATACGGAGAGTGATGAAGACTTTGAGGAAAAATAGGATCTACAGCAGGCAAAACTGCAAGTGCAACAATATTTGTAAAAATAAGATCAAGAAAAACGTTTCTGCCATTGGGAAATAAATTAACTTGTTTAAGATTCAGAAATGCTGAAGTTGAGTTAATAACGTCATAATATTCATGTTTACTAGTCGATGAATCAAAAAGAATATCATTACCATTCCAGACGAGATGTGGTAAATTAAAATCACCGGCGATGACATAAGATGAATCAGGAAAACGCTCAAAAATTAATTCCAGGTCACTACAATAATCCTCGAAAATACTAAGAGGAGACGCAGGAGGAATATACACACCCCCAACAATCAAATCTAAATCATTATATTTTAAATGAACAAAAATGCTTTCCACAGAAATACTACAAAGAACAGTATGAACACAAAAATCATTCCTGATCGCAATCAACACACCACCACCACGATGTTTACCCGTATAATCAACATTGCGATCAGCACGAAAAATGCTATAATTATTTAAACCCAGTTCTTCGTTGGAAATACTGCTGCAAAGCCAGGATTCCGAAATAATAATAATATCGTAAACACTAGAATTAACCATTAACGAAAATTCCTTTAATTTTGACCTAAGGCCACCAACATTCTGATAGTAAAAGTTTATTACTTTTTTGAAAAACTATTGCGAGATGAACTTGTTTTGGTAATATAAGCTTGATTGTTTTTGTATTTTAAAGTTACGTCCTTCTCACCTTTAGAAACCCTGTCCTTAAATTCACGGCGAATATCATTATTAAAATCACGCTGAAGTTTAGTTAAATCAGGACGAAAGAATTTATCACGATTAGGGTTATTTTTGTTTGAGCGGAGAATGTCTTTAGCCAGATTCTCATTTTCACAAACTATTCTCAAAGGACGAACAGTGTTAGACTTAGGAGGACCAATGCGAATAACTTTTTGAGGATGAGAAATGAAACCCAACGGGGATAAAATAGACATAACCTGTTGCAAATCGTCCGCAACCCTTTGTGCAATCGATGTAGAAGAAGATTCAGGTAAATTAAACAATAGTACATTAGAGCTCCGTCTTTTACGCTCCTCAATTTCGGCCACAATCACATTAAGATCAGATGAATTGTTATTAGGCATTGTATTAGACGTCTTAAACGCTGCCCATTCCTCCTGAATTAGTCGTACATTATCCTCAACGGTTGTTAATCTGTCATTGATAGCTTTGAAGTGATTTTCAATAGTTTGTTTAATGTCCTGTTGCACCACACTTAGTTGTTTTATAATGATTTCCTCAATTTTTTCAATTGAGATTATGTTACTAGAAGGCGAGCATTTAGGACAAATCCAAGAAGATTTGTCGTTTATTATTTCAGCTATTTCAGACTCACTCAGTTTTAAACATTTAATATGTGCATGTTTTTTGCATGTACCACATTTTGTAGAAGGAGTCGTAGGGGTGATAGCATTCTCACAAATTAAACATAGAACTGCCATATTAATAGGATAACAAGGAAACAATTCTTCACACCAACGCGGTCCGTCGTGGTGACTGACAGTACTTGACAAACAGACTAGACCAGGGAAGGTAAAACAAAAGAGACAGAGGATACAGCTATATTGTAGCAAAAAGCTAAAGCTAATTAATCAATAAAACCAAGATAACGTTATCACGTGAAAGGGCAAAAAATGCAGAAGCCACGTACAAAATAGAGAAACCCCTTAACTTACGCAATCAAAAGGCGACAACAGTGACACAGGGCGTAGATAATCCTAATTTCCAGACACTGTCCAAAATTCAAGAAAAAACAAGGCACTTTAACCACTAAAAATTAATTAAAGAGAGAGTGTCGGTCTTATCACTGCTAATACGCTCTAACCTCTTTGACGAAACAGTAAAAACTGCTGTATTTCAATTACCAATTTTGGAAAAACTGTAGGAATTTCCGAAGAAATAAAGATAAAATGAGTTCTGGATATCGAAATCTACAAATGTTTTCAACTAATTTTCGGAAATAGTTGAAAAATATTACAAAATGTGAAAATTGTCAAAATCAGTCCTATCTGATCAAATACTAACCCCTCCCACCCACCTTCTATTTTCTAAGAGGGTATATCATTTGCCAAAATCAGTCTTATCTTAACAAGTACTAGCTCTCACTCCACTCTTCTCATTCTAACGACTAATTTTATTTCTGTTCAGTTCATTCATATCGCATAAAATCAATCACTAAAAAGAAGACAGGGTGGGTGGGCGGGACTAGTACTTGCTACGATAAGACTGATTTTGGCAAAAAACATACTTCCAGAAAATAGAGGGTGCGTGGGCGGGGCTAGTATTTTATAAGATAAGGATTTTGGCAATTTTAACATTTTCGACCATTTTTCAACTATTTTTGAAAACTAGTCCTAGGGATTTTCCGCCTGGTTTGTTCGGAAATTCCTACCGCGTTTCCAAAATCGCTAATTGAAATACACCAATTTTTACAAAATAGCTCGTTATAAAAATTTTGTAGATAAAAAAGAAAATTATTATTAATTTTCGTTTCACAAAATACTGTTAGGTTGAATAAAATCGGCGTCGGTAAAACTCAACAATTAATTTTTTTAATAACTCGAATTTACACGACTAATTACAGAGCGATTAAGTACAAAATAATTCCGGCGTAACTTCAGTGCGTTCTCTCGACACTCGTTGGACTCGATTTGTTAACTGAATTCAGCTCTTGTTGTCTGGATTACACAAACTGCTCCCGACGGTGGTTCCCATTTAAACAGCCTCGGGGTCTTTCTCAAAGGTCTGTATCATCGCTTCTAGGCTTATTTTTGAACACCCGTCGCGACATTCGCTTCCAGGCTCGTCTCCGGTCGCCGTCAAGGACAATGAGTCATCGTCGCCGTATATACTAGAGCCCATAGGCGTCATACCGGGCCGGCGTATGGGTTTATTTCGCAACAATACAATTGGTTCTAGAATGTACTTCGTAGTTTTTATGAAATTACAGAAATATTTAAAATTTGTTGATTTGTTACAATAGAGAAGTCAGGACAGATATGATTAATTTAAGCCAAATCAGGTCAGGTGCATGAAATAAGCAATAAATTTTATAGCAAATAGTATAACAAAAAAAGTTACGATAAGTGTTTTTTTTTTACTTTTTCCATATCTCAGATTCTAATATAAGTTTCCACTTCCACTCGACAAAAGAAAATAATTAGCCTCGCCCAGCCACCCTGTCTCCTTTTCAGTGATTGATTTTATCCAATTAGAATGAAATGAGTGATCTTACACCGAAAAGAAACAAAATTAGTAGTCAGAATATGATAGTATCATTGGATTAGTATTTTGAAAGAAATTACGTTTAACTATACATATATTGTGTATTATGTTAGTTCGTTAAAGTTAGTCAACGTTCGATTATATTTGCAATCCGGTGTATAGAAACTTTTCACATTTTTTTTTTATATAAAAACATTCGCTCTGTAGAGGTCACAAGTCGTTCACAACCAAATCGTTGTTGTAATTTGAAGTGGTCTATATTCCTCCGCCTGCCAGTCGACTCGATGCCACCACATTAAAATCCTGAAATATGACCACAACATGAAACCCAACCTAATCACTTCCCACTTTTCATCTTACGCTCAACCCCCTCGAATATGCCTCATCGCTGTCGCACAAAAATCCGCTTTGTGGCCTGTAATAAAACGTTGACATATAAAGCGATAAAGCTCCAAAATCAATTATGCTTACGCTCTTGGAGTTCCTTCAGGCTCAATATTTCCCGGTTTTATACGCTTCTCAGTTTTTAGTCAAACAATAACTTTGCTCCCGAAGCTTAGGTGCTTTTACAAAGTTCTGATACTCGAGAAAACAAGTTTGGTAACGTGACGACCTCTTGTTAGCCGGGATTTTTTCATCAAAGTTCTAGGATTGCAGCGATAAAGCGAGCGTGCACGGGTTTCATATTTAAATTTCTCCGCTTTTTTTACGATTTATTTGTCGCAGAAACTGTGCTTTTAATGCGAGTTTCTGCATTCGACTCGAGTGCAGCCTTATTTATTTGTTAAGTGCACGCGAGGGTGTGAGGAATTTGCATTTTATGCGTTCTGCCCTTGAAGCGTTATAAATGAGGCGTAAATATTCATAAGGTGTGGTTGTTCTAAAAGAGGAGGTTTGTGTTGTCTACAAATAGATTAAGTGATTATCACTCCTTTTTTAACTTGGGAGGGTGTACACTGTACAGTAAACAAACAGAAAGCTCGCTAAGGATAAAACGTGTTTTACTTTCAATTTTAATTATAAGGCTTCGGGGAAACAGCGACCATTTACAAGAGTCTCATTATTTGTGACGATGCAAATCACTTTCGCGCGAAAAATTCCGAAGCCAAAGAAAAACAACCGAATGAAAGCAGTGTGACGTCAAACCAAAGAACCACCAATTAGGGGACAAATTTCAGTTACTCATTAACATATTTCCTTGAAAAGCGCTAAATTGTCTTTCTCAAAGTGTGCTTTTTTTCAGGGACGGACGGAGGCACGGTCCTTGGGGCCATCGCGGGCCTCGGCGCCCTCCTCCTCGTGTTTCTGCTCTACATAAAGAACAAACGATGGTGGTGGGGTACCGTCGGGGGCATGGGGTGCTGCGACGAGGCATGCCCCCCCGTCTCCTCCCGCCCCGTTCCGTCACCGCCAGTGCCTGCAACGTCGTTCACGCCAGCCCCCCTCAAGCACAAGCTAGGTACGTACCTAGAATGACTTCCTTCTTAATTAATTACTGACGCTAGAAATGCCAGACGCTATACTGAATAATAATATAATTAAGAAACGGCAATTTAATTGCGGTAATCGTGATTAGTTCGTGAGTGGAACGTGTTTATCAAGAGTTAATGGAAGATTTAATGGATGTTGCATATGTATACGGATAATGTTATGATGTGGTGGTAAGATGGCGGTGTGGGGTTTATTTGGGTGCGAGTCGGATCAGGTGGTGGTTTTTATTTCAAACGTTCGAGGCGAAATTAAGGGAATACGATATGGTGAGGGGTGAAGGAGAAGTAATGGGGTTAGATCAATAGGGGTGTTTTGGGGTGTTTATTTGTTTAAAAACTGGCTGTGTAGACGGGGTAAAAGGTTTTTTGTGGGGGATTAATTGTGGCGTCTGCGGAGAGTCGGTAAAAAATGGTGTTGGCAAGGGTTCCGATTTTTTGGTGTTGAAAGTGGCGTTGATTGAAATTTTTGGGTTGTCGTTTAAAGATTTATTCATTCATTTTATTCGCACCCTGTTACACACCTATTCTTTATAATGTGCTAATTCCTGATTCTGCCCACCCATTCACATAAAACACAAGGTGTACCAAACAAAGTTGACTTTGGCCCTTTTTATTCCAATACACGCAAGAATCAAAAGAAAGTGAAATTTTAACCTTTGCACACTGATTGTTCTACAAGTACTGCTCACTCTGCGAACTTGGAAGTAAAATAATTGGTCAAAAGAGTTTAAAAAAAAAATGTGATGACGTCATCAACATTTTTGCAAGGACACGTATATCAGTTGGACAGATGTAGTATAATACTGAAAATAAAAAAAAATCGAGAAAATGAATTGGGTCGTCTTGAATATTGATTTATAATCAATAAAATAACAAAACAGTTTACTGAAGCGACTCAAAATCATTTCTGTATAAGCATTCTTAATTGAAGACAACAAGCGGTAACACTTGTTGAGATTATACATGAGAGTCAAACAGAGAAACTGGAAACAATACCGATGGTCGCCCAGACTTTTTTATTGCTTCGACTTCCGCTTATTATATAAAACATTGGATTTTGTTTTAATTTTTTACGGTGTAAGTCACAACAGTTGATTATAACTTGTCTATACCACATTCACGAAACCTAGTCAACGCAACAAAACAAATGCACGTCTGTAATGTTAAAATACGTAAATGTAAATAAGCGTGTTTCAAACAAGTTTTTACTTTATCAAATGGGTTGGCGCAACGTAATACTAATAATCACAGTGTTGTATCTCCACATTTTCGGGAAAAGGGGAGTGAATTATTCCTGATTTAATCAATGAAATAAATTGACACATTCCTTAATTTTTTTGTGCCATCTGTTAAACAAATCTAAAAAATATGAATGGAATGATAAATCACAAGTATAGACTCATATTTTGTACATTTTAGATAGGACTTATTTAACAAAATTTTGGGGTGACGTAATCAATTTTTTGGAAGGAACATGTAAATATATTTTGATTACAAATTTATCATGCTTATCATACCTATAAACCATCTGCAACATTTTAAAGCATGTATATGTTTAGTTAAATTTGGAAAATTATGAAAAAGTCAAAAAAATTCCAAAAAATTCAGAGATATCAATTTCGATGTGTTGATCCCAAAAATGTAACGTGTCCATCGTTTCGTGGAAAGATTTTAGAAATATCAGGGTTGAAACTTTTTTTTTAAACCAAAAAATTACAATATTCCATTGGACAATTCTGGAATAATCGTATGAGTTATCCAAGAAATGAGGCCTAAACCAACTTCTTTTGGTTGAAATCTTTAAGAAAATGTGTTTACGTTAAGTTTTGAAAGTACCAAAAATTGGTTGAAATTTCTCATTGAAATATTTTGTTTTTTATGATTATTGTATGCTTCACCTCTTCGAAAAATACTATAATTTTTCCAGAATCGTCAATTGAAAATTAAAATTTGCATAAGACAAAATTTCATTTTTGAAAAAGTCGTCCAAAAATTCCCAAAAAATTCACGTGGTGATTCCAAAAATGTAGCGTGTTTAGGCTCATGGAGCAATATTTTCAAAATAGTCGGAGTGAAATTGAAATTTTTTGAAAATTTAAAAAATTGCGGGATTTCGAAATCTACAAGAAAATGTATTTAGTTAAATTTCGAAAATCGTCGAAATTTCCCTAAGGGGATAACCTCAAAACTTTGCGAGATTCCGAACCAATCCTCATAAGGGGGGAAGGGGATAACCCCAAAATATTTTGCGACCTTCTGAACCATTTTGGTTTTCCTCTTCCAAAGATAAATTATAAAATGTTATACAATCTGGATATCAACTCAACTCGGATTCACAGCGCACACGTACGGGAGTGTGTTATTTTATATTCCTAAAATTTCAGTCCCATTTCGGAAAAATCTTTCTACTCCAACAGTTTCTGGACCTCATCTTAAGATGTCTTCTGATTAGTCAATCTACTTGGCGCTTGAACATCTTCACTTTTTAATTCTGCTTCTTTGAAGCTTTCGTTTTCAATTGCTCTCCAATTTCGACAGATATAATAGACAATAATTTCGGACTTTCAACTCAGGTCAGGTCAGGTCATAAACATTTTTGAAAAAATGCTCTAAAAATTCTCAAAAAATTGATCTCGACGTGAAAATGGGTCTAAACTCGCCCACCCACCCCTTCTTAATTCAATGACTACTCTTAATATTGTTCAGTTCTATCTTAGCAAACCTTTAGCCCCGCCCATTTCCTTCATTTTCGTCAAGGATATGTCATTTACCAAAATCAGTCTTATCTTATCAAGTAGTAGCACCGCCCACCCACCCCTTTTTTATTCCAGTGACTACTCTTAATTCTATCTTAGCAAGTTTTTTTGGCAATACATATTGTAAAATGACGTCATCACTTTTGAGAAGGAAGCGCAAACGAATAAATTTTGAATAATGATTTATTATGTTTCTGATTATTTTAGACGTTTGTAAGATTCCAGAGCACTCGATTTTGCAATTTCAAAATTAAATTGTAAAATGTTGCTATTCAATTTAGATTTTTTCCCAAAAATTTGGATGCAAAGACTTCACACAGATTCATAAACCACAAGTACAGGAATATTTTATTTTTTCAAATTTAGATAACTTTTATTTGGTAAATTTTTGTGATGACCTTATTATTTCCCGAGCGTAAGCAAAGGAAGTATTGTAATCGAGTCCGTCGGCCGACTCTCTACTTTTACGTTTTCTCGATCTTTCATGACCTCTAGAAGACGAAGAAATAAGTCTGCCATTTCCGTCTGTCTGTCCGTCTGTCCGTCTGTCCGTCTGTCCGTCTGTCCGTCTGTCCGTCTGTCTGCCGTCCCGGATTTTTATTAGACAGAATCTCCGAAAGTACTGGACCGATTGTTGTGAAATTTTGTACTTATATTAGGAATATCATGTAGATGGTAAAACGCTAACCAAAATTTGTCTAATCATCACTAATGCGATGACGTCACTTCAAAATTGAACATAGTAAATGGGTTTTAAATTGTATAAAATAACATAGTCCTACACATGTAGTTTACGATTCCGATTTAAGTTTTTATCCAAAACGTCCAGATTTTTGGAAAAAAAATAAAAATTATAAAACAACATTTTGAAATTTAATTTTGAATCTGCTAACCCGAATGCTTTGAAATGTTGCAGATGTTTTAAGGCTATAAAGAGCATCATAAATCTTTAGTCAAAATATATTTGGTTATCCCCTCCAAAAACTTGATAACGTCAGCTCAAAAGTTTGCCGAATAAATCCTATCTAAAATGTACAAAATATGATGAGTCTGTACTGGTGATCTATCACTCCATTCATATTTTTTGAATTTGCATATACAGGGTGACTCAAAAAAATTAATGAATGCGTAAATTTATTTTACTGATTTACTCAGGAACTACAAAACCGAATGCTTTGAAATCTTGAAGATGTTTTAAAATTATCATAAGCATGGTAAATTTTTGATTAAAATGCATTTGGTCGTCCCCCCTAAAAAATGTATGACGTCACCTCAAAATTTTGCTTAATAAATCCTATCTAAGACGTACAAAATATGGTGAGTCTCTTCTTGTCATTTATCATTCCATTCAAATTTTTTCGATTTGCATATACAGGGTGACTCAAAAAAATTAATGAATGCGTGAATTTATTTTATTGAGTTAATCAGGAACTACAAAACCGAATACTTTGAAATCTTGCAGATGTTTTAAGGTTATAAAGAGCATAATAAATGGTTAGTCAAAATATATTTGCTTATCCCCTCCAAAAAATTGATGACGTCAGCTCGAAAGTTTGCCGAATAAATCCTACCTAAACTGTACAAAATATGACGAGTCTTGTAATTTATCATTACATTGAGTGACTCAAAAAAATTAATGAATGCGTAAATTTATTTTATTGATTTACTCAGGAACTACAAAACGGAATGCTTTGAAATCTACTGTGAAAAAAACATAATATGCATGCAGTCGTCACGTTTCCGACAGCGAGGGAAGTACTGTCTAAACTCTTTAGACCAATTTTTTTTTTGGGCTGGGAGGGGATAAAATGTGCAAAGTATGATGAGTCTATACTTGTGATTTATCACTGCATTATTTTGTTTTAGATCTGCTTATACGGGGTGTCTGAACAAATTTAATGAGTCGATTTATTTTATTGCTTAAATCAAGAATTGCAAAACTGAATATTTTGAAATCTTGACGTTTTGAAGTTATTGTGAACATGGTAACTTAATCAAATTGTATATGTTTATCAATCCCAAAAAATTGATTACGTCATCTCAAAATTTTACCGAATAAATTCTTTCCAAAATGTGCAAAATATACTTGTAACTTATCATTGCATTCATATTTTTCGGATTTGCTTATCCAGGGTGACTCAAAAGAATTAATGAATCAGTCAGTTTATTATTGATCAAATTAAGAACGAGCCCCCAGTTTCTCGAAAATGTGA